AAAGGAAATCAGAAAAGTTGAGTTGGAAAAAAGTTCTGTGCTGAGAATACACAGAGAACAGCTGATTATTAATTGATTTTTTCCATATTCTATAAAATTCCCATAGCTCTGTAGGGTATTTAATAAGTTTTGATAGGTGATTAATAACTTGATACTTTGATATACCTCTAGAATTACTAAGGAGTGCTCTACTTTTTAAAGGCAATTAGCGGTGGCTCAGGCCTTTATCCTAGCACTTTGGGAGACTAAGTTGAGGGCATTGCCTGAGCCCATGAGTTTGAGAAGAGACTGGGCAACTTGGTGAGACCTTATCTCTACAATAAATCAAAAAATTAGCTATGCATCTTAGCATGCGCCTGTTGTTTTAGCTGCTTGGAAGGCTGAGGTGGAAGGATTGCCTGAGCCCAGCCAGTCGAGGCTGCAGTGGCCGTGAGCATGCCACTTCACTCCAGCCTGGGTGATGGAGTGAGACTCCAACCCCCAAAAATAAATAAAGGCAGTCAGTAAGAAGAGATGTAGTTCCTTTATTTTTTGCTGGATCTGCCTTTATGTGTCATCATATATTCAACCATTTTCTGGAGGGTGTGTGTGTGTGTGTGTGTGTGTGTGTGTGTGTGTGTGTGTGTGTGTGTGTGTGTTGGAGGGAGTTATGCATATACAAAAATGAGTAGATTGCAGTCTGCCCCCTAGAGACAATAGTCAGTCCAGTCCTATTTGTAACTTGCATTTATGAAGTTAAGGAAGTCACAGGTGGAACCTCACTCTCTAAGCCAAACTTTTGGGTTGCAGAAAATCTCCTTAGTTACATAGCATCATACTGGGACTTGAGCTATTTCATTATTGCTGAATTTTAGAACTGAGCAGTGAGTGATAGGAGTACTTAGTGATCATTTAGTCCTCACATAGTTGTGAAGAGTTTTTTTTTTTTTGAGTTGGAGTCTCACTCCTCGCACCTTGGCCTCCCAAAGTGCTGGAATTATAGGTGTGAGCCACCACACCCGGTCAGTTGTAAAGATTTAAAGAGAAAAAATAAAAACACAAACAGTACTTGATAAATGTTAGTTAAATCTGAATATCTCTACAATTGGTGAAAAAGAGACCTGGACAACTGAAATGACTTGCCTAGTGCCATACATCTAGTAGTCAAGTCTGGTTTAGATTTCAGGTCTCATGATTATTATTCCTAGCTTATATTCATTCATATCTTCTGCCTCAAAGAGATTGCCACAATGTAAAAGGGAGGCTAACTTAATGAATCAGTAATTAGTTATGTATGACTGGGTGCCTGGCTCTCTGCTGGACTCTGGTGATGCAGAGCAATATTCCCATAGGTGGGAGGGAATTGGGAAAGGGAGCAGGTTAGAGCAAGAACATCAACCTATTTGGAGCAGAGAACTATTTCGTTAGGGAGGTATCACTTAGGGTGAGGCTACATTAAACGCTGGGAAACCCAGGCCTGCCCTGTGCAACTAAACTCTATTTCCTTTAAGAGTCAACTTTGAGAGAACATAATGTGGCACAAAGAATGTAGCCATTGGAATTAGCCTGGGTTTGAATGCTGGTTATTATGACACTCTGCTCAAAACCCTTCCGTCGCTTCCCATTTCATTAAAATTAAAAGTCCTTATAATTGTTACATGGCCTTATATAATCTGCCTTCCTACTACCTCTTTAACCACCTCTCTACTCTCTGTTGCTCACTCTGCTGTAACCAACCTGGCCTACTTGCTGTCCCTCCATCACACCAAGCATTCTTGCCTGGGGGACTTTGTACTAACTACCCTCTTTGCCTAGAATGCTCCTCCTCCAATTAGCTGCATGGTATCAGAGAGGTTTTGATCACTCTGTATAAAATAGTATCCTCTGCCCTCCCTTGTCATTCCCTTACCAGAATTTATTTCTCTTTATACCACTTACACCACTGGATATATGTTTATTTATTTATATCTGATATATGTTTACCACCATACCACTTATACTACTTTATACTACCTGATACATGTTTATTACCTATCTCTTTTCCTTAGAAAGTAAACTTCTTAGCCAGGTTCAGTGGTTCAGCCTGTAATCCCACACCTTGGGAGGCTGAGGTGAGTGGATTGCCTGAGCCTGTGGGTTCGTGACCTGCCTGGGCAACTTGGCGAGACCTCGTCTCTACAATAAATCAAAAAATTAGCTAGGCGTGGTAGCGTGCGCCTGTAGTTCCAGCTACTTGGAAGGCTAAGGCAGAAGGATCGCTGGAGCCCAGCAGGTCGAGGCTGCGGTGGCCGGGAGCGGCCACTGCACTCCAGTCTGGGCAACAGAGTGAGACTCCAACTCAAAAAAAAAAAAAAAAAAAAAAAAGAAAGTAAGCTTCTTGAAAGCAGGCATCCTAGCCGGGTACAATGGCTCACACCTGTAATCCCAGCACTTTGGGAGGCCAGAGGATTGCCTGAGCCTGTGGGTTTGAGACCAGCCTGGGCAACATGGCGAGACCTCATCTCTATAATAAATCAGAAAATTAACTGGGCGTGGTGACTGACCCCCCCCCCCCCAAAAAAGAAAGTATCTTCTAGGGCATAGAACAGTTTAGAGTAGGTACTCCACTCTGAATGAATGAATGAGTTCTATAACTCTTATGAGGCTCATTGTGCTCATATGCAATATTGGGATGATAATACTTACATAAAGGGTTGTTGGGATCAAATAAGGTAATGCTATCAAATACTTAGTATCTGGTACATAGTAAGTGCTCTGTATATGCTAATGCCTGCCTTCTTTCATGTTTTCTTCATGGATGCCCAGTTGATAGCTTTAGTGGTATCCTGATTCCCATTTTACATAGATAAAAAGGACATTCTACATGGTAGTGATGAAGAAAAGTGGTTATATCATGCATAATACTAACTTAGCAGAATGCAGTAATTATAGTGTTTATGTTTTCCCAGGGAACTATTAAGCTATAGGTAACTCTCACTTAGTAGAGTAGATCTATTTTGGGGATGTTTTGTCAAAAGGCAAGCTTTTAATCAAGTGAATTCTATATTTCCATCATAAAACTGGATCACATTTTTGCTAGGAAAACATTATCTCAAAATAGATAAAACTGTAATCTGAAGTGCTACAAATCTATATGTTCTTGACTCTGGAAATTTTTGCTTAGTGACTACAATGATGCAGTAATTTTGTCTAGGGAGAGATAACTTGTATATACTGCTAAGGTCTGGGCTGCTCTGCTGCTGTTTAGGAGTAGAGTAGCTGTTTGCCTAATCATTGCTTCTTATCAAACTTAGGAACTATTATTAGCATGTCAGTGTTATTATAAGGTAACTGGTACTTAATAAATTTTAGCTTATTTTTTGCTAATCTTGGTGACCAAATTAGGAACAAAGCCATGACTGTGATCCTTAAATTTTGTTATTTTAAAGAGTGCCATTACCAAAAAGTGAATTTAGAGCAATTAACTTTAAATTTCAAAATTATAAGTGAAGGTTCTTTCATATTGGACATGGAAGCATTGTATGTATATTGCCTACATAATATTTACAAGTTAAACAGTATACTTTGATTTCCTCATCTTCTTCCACTAATATAGTCAGTTAAGCATTCTGGTGTTTCAAAAGTGACATTTTGATGTTAATCCAGAGAGGATAGGAAAGACTTTCATAAGGGAGGCTGTTTGGCTGGAAGAGCTGTATACCTATTGTGTTATGTTATCTGTTGAAGTTCTATTGAAACTTGAAGATAAGTGTATTTTCTCTGGGCAAAGAGTAGTCTGTTAATATGTTCTGTATACCAGCTGCTTATAGTAGAAGACAGTGAATGCTCTTAGAAAGCAAGCAAGCAGCCGTGTGCGGTGGCTCAGCCTGTAATCCCAGCATTTTGGGAGGCTGAGACGAGAGGTTTGCCTAAGCCCAGGAGTTCGATGCCAGCCTGGGCAACTTGGTGAGACCTTGCCTCTACAATTAAAAAAAAAAAAAAAGCCAGGCATGGTAGCACACATCTGTAGTTCCAGCTACTTGGAAGGCTGAGGTGGAAGGATTGCTTAAGCCCAGTAGGTCGAGGCTGCAGTGGCCATGGGCAACAGAGTGAGACTCCAACTCAAAAAAACAAAAACAAAGCACGCAAGCAAACAAGAAATCATACAAGATACTTAACCTCTTCTTCTTCTTCTTTTTTTTTTTTTTTTGAGTTGGGACTCACTCTGTTGCCCAGGCTGGAGTACAGTGGCACACTCATGGCCACAGCAGTCTCAACCTTCTGGGCTCAGGCAATCCTTCCGCCTTGACTTTCCAAGTAGCTGGAACTACAGGTGTGCGCCACCATGCCCGGCTAATTTTTTGATTTATTATAGAGATAAGGTCTCGCCAAATTGCCCAGGCTGGTCTTTAACCCCTTAGACTCAGGCAATCCTCTTGCCTTTGCCTCTCAAAGTGCTGGGATTACAGGCGTAAGCCACCTTAACCTCTTGTAAATATTTCATCTGCAAATGAAGATATGTCTACTTCAGATTATTGCTGTGAAAATTAAATTCATAAGAAAATGTACAAAAAAGCTCTAACCATAGTGCCTGGCACATAAAGGTGCTTAATCAGTGGTAACCTATTAGTAATAATAAATATACTTGTCTTTCCAAAAATGTTTGCTATAGAAAAGTTATTTTGTACTAGTGGATTTAAATTTTGTATTGTTGCAGATTGACATTTGATATCAAGGCCCTTCCAAAGGTGTTGGAATTTTTAACCAATACTATGGGAGATCTAGAAAAATTAGCATATTATTTGGAGATTATGAATAGTACCATCACCTTCTACTTAGTGACATAGTTATCCTATAGGAGAAAAGTGAGTCTTGTAATTAATTTTTAGAGGAATGTATGTGTCAAGGTTTTGGTCATAGCATGGTTTCTATTAGTTGCTTGTACTTATTCTGAATGTGGAGAGACCAGTGATCTAAGATGTAGGGTATTCATGATGAACGTATTTTTCTGTTAAACAAATCTTTTCCCCCTCTCTCCCCAGCCGCTCAGATAAAGAATTTGATGAGCCAGCTAGGAACTAAGCAGGACTCAAGCAAACTACAGGAAAATCTGTGAGTAGCTTCCTACCAGGATTGGATTTTATGAGGGTCCTTTGCTGCACAGTAGCTTTGGTTTCAGGTTTGTGAAGTCAGAATGAGAGGCAGTGGGTCATGGGGTAATAGCTGGATCTAAAAGAGGGGCAACAAAGTGTATTCATGGATTGTGATCTCCACTGCCTTTCAAAGTCCTTGAACTCTGATTCTTTCTTCTCTGGGGCAGTTTAGTAGAACAATTTAGGGAAGTAGAGAAGGGAACTCCTGTCCTTATTAAACCATATTCTGCTCACAACTCTACCTAAATGAGCTTCCTTGTTGGCACAGGACTTCTGATGATCTAGTCTAGTTGGATTTCCAACCACAGTTGGTATTCCATATCAATGGATTCTGCATCCATGGATTCAACCAACCATGGATCAATATATTTGGGGGAAAAATTGTGTCTTTATTGAATGTGTACAGATATTTTTTATTGTCTTTAGTTCCTAAAAAATACAGTAGAACAACTATTTCCTTGGCATTTACATTGTATTAGGTATTGTAAATAATCTAGGTGATTTAAAGTATACAGGAGGATATGCATAAGTAGCAAACATACGCCATTTTATATCAGGGACTTGTGGAGAGGAAACTAATTCCGCAGAATACTGAGAGACTACTGTGTATATAATATTAGAAAAAGTTATTCAGAATGACCCAAGAGGAGCCTGAGGGAGAGAATAGTGGTAGTATAGACTCCTGGGTTTTTTTTAATTTTTGAGTCAGAGTCTCATACTCTGTTGCCCAGGTTGGAGGGCAGTGTCATGATCACAGCTTACTACAACCTTGACCTTCTGGTCTTAGGTGATCCTTCTGCCTCAGCCTCCCAAGTAGCTGGGACTACTGGTGCATGCCACCATGACGGCTAAGTTTTTGACTTTTGTAGAGACAAGGTCTCACTATGTTGCCCAGGCTGGTTTTGAACTCCTAGGCTCAAGCAGGTCTCTGGTCTTGACCTCCCAAAGTACTGGGACTACAGGCGTGAGCCACTGCACTCAGCCCTGATTCTTTGTATCATATCCTCTTCTTTTTTTTTTTTTTTTTCA